CCTTCCTTCCTTCCTTCCTTCCTTCCCTTTATTGTTGACACCATTATAGATGTTCCCTATTTTCCCTACCTTTTCCCATCTCCACCCAGCCCCCACAACCCCTCCCTCTGGCCATCATTACACTGTTGTATGTGTCCATGGCTATGCCTGCATGCTCTTTGGCTAATCCCTTCACCTTCTTTCATCCAGTCCCATCCATCCCTTCCTCTCTGACCTCTGTCAATCTGTTCCATGTATCCATTACTCTGATCCCTTTTGACTATGCCTTGTCACTAATTCCCACATTTGAGAAGGAAATGTTAAATAACATCCTTGACTGAGGAAATTCTTCTGTATTTTAATTTTAATTTATTGAAATCACTTGCTCTGTGTGGACACAGAAGCCTGCAAATTTAATGAGATACAGAGACCAAAAATTTACATAACTCATCAATATTAAAAATCTGAAGGCTACCCTCACAGTAATTATATTTACTTTTCTCTCTGGTCAATGCTGCTTCCTCTACACTCAAAACTGCAGCATTATAGCACTAGCATTATAGCATTATAGCACTAGGTATTTTAGGAATTGCTTTCAGGCTCATTCTTAATTTATATATGATATCTAACTGTATGTCATGAGATTTTCCTGGGCTATTATATATTCCTTGAAAACATGAACTCATGTCTTTTTAAATTGACACTTCCATTGTATCTCAACTGAAGAGGTCTCTTTCTAAGGCCCTGGGGCATGTTGCTCTCAACAAGTTCTAGTAAGAAGTAGCTGGGTTTTGCAGCCACCAAATAACATAAATCTAAGAGTGCAGTACCTTCACCACAATGCCCTGTCTACCACAGTCGGACCTATGCCTACCATGACATTTCTTACATTGCTTTTCATTAAAATGATTAACACGTTTCCGAGCTTAATAGTATATAGATCCAAACAGCTACCTCACTGAACTGTATACACATGCTTCCCAGTGATCTGTGAACTTCTTAAGGGTAAACAAACTATGTCTTTGTCTTTCATTCATTTGTCTATATGCTTGTTAGTAGAGGTGGGTTTACACAAAGATGATGAAACTTAAGTTGTGGGTCCTCTCATTTACGTGAGGCTATTCCAAGGCCCTGGATGTAATAACAGAAAGCCTCACCGATATAATCACGTGGTCATAAATTTGGAGGGAATTTATAAAAGCAAATAGTCTTTTTATAGCTTAGTTTGGATTAGTAATTTTCTCCTCTTGTTTTTAAATACAGCTCTCCAACTTTTAATGATTTGGCCCCACAGATCCTAGATTATCCCTTGCTGACATAAGAGGAACAATTATTTACATTTGTGGAGTGAATAAATGAAAGTGAAGGGGAACAACTTTATTATTAATTAATATATTTTGACATTTAAAAATCAGCATTCTTGGAAAAAATTTTCCACAAACCATCAACAAATAATGCTAGTGTATAATGTCTGGGTTTGTCAAAGCTCTTATACAAACAAATCATTAGTTGAATCTTTGTACCTACCAGCCCTTCAGATAAATCCAATTTTTAATCTAAACAATGATATTGAAATGTTTACAACTGTGCAGTTTGTAGAAAGGATAATATCATACTCAATTGTTAAACTGTTAGAAACTAAAACATACCAATTGATTGGTTTGCTTATGGTCATACAGTGTCAGTACTAGGAGGAAGCTGAGGGCTTGATACTGAGTCTACTCTTTCCATTATTACATGGGGTTTACAAAAGTATTTAAATAAGTGAAAACATAGTCTAAAAACAAGGAATATAAAA